CAACACACGAAGCTTCACCCGCGCTTGTTATGAGAAACGGAGGTGGCTGGCTGGATGTGATGTTAGCAATTCTCTTTTTTGTTTTCCCTGTCTTTTATTTCAAAGTGTCGGCACTGAAGTTTTGTGGACAACGACGGGGGTAAGAGACCTCAAACATCTCTCTGACAAATGCAAACGTCATGAAAGTATCCGCAGCCATATTGATAATAGCATAAAACTAACGTTTTTATGTTCAAGTAGGAAACATGCTTTTTGGTACTTTGGTCTGAAATGTATATAAAAGAGAACCATTTATGTTCAAGTAGGAAACATGCTTTTTGGTACTTCTTTTGGTCTGAAATGTAAATAAATATCATCAAAATTTATATTCAAGTAGTCAAAATGGTTTTTGGTACTGCTTTATATTTATTTGCCCCCCTCAATAAAATAAAAAAAATGCGCCCCCCCAAAAATAAATATCACCAGCCGCCACTGCTTATATCCATTGGTGGTCCTAGGCCTGTGGTGGAAATTCCACATCCCTATGGTGGGGGCCAGACTCGACATCATAATTACTCGTCATCATCATCATCATCCATGATCAATCCACTATTTGATGAAGTCCTTCCCTAGTTGCCGCTTATCCTTCATGATCCGATGCAATAATCCACCCAGCTCCCACACAGTAAACAAAGTCTCAAATTGAGTTGCAGAAATTCTAGATTTGAAGCTTTCGTGACTGCAAGGATTCATATTCTTAGGTTTTTTCGGTAAAGTCACGTAGGTAAAACATCAAAATTAATAAAAATAAAATAAAGATCACGACGTTTTGCTGTTGTGTTGCCTCCGAAACGTCGTGATCTTTATTTTATTTTTATTAATTTTGATGTTTTACCTACGTGACTTTACCGAAAAAACCTAAGAATTTGAGTTGCAGAAGTCACATTGCACACAAGGGCAGGGGGTCTCCCACACAGCAACAAGGTCCCAAGAAGAAGTGAGTGCAATGAGACTCGCCATGAATCCCATTCACGTCTCCGTCACACGCAGACGAGGACACGGATTCCCCCGTGTAGCCTGGTAGTCTATTGGGGCAAGTGCTGTTCGTGAGCACCTGAGAAGGCTAATGCAGCACACGAGGGGGTGGTGGCAGCCTGCAGTACACCTGCCTGCAGTGCCAGTACGCACAAAATATACGACACAATTGTATTTCAGTGCATTAGGAATGCAAAATGAATAGTGCTCACCTCACCCATCCTTGACATTACCCCATCAATTTGCCGGTACCTGCCTCACTTTAACAACTGCCCAACTGCCTTTCTCTCCCCATCCCTAGTGCTGATGTTTTACATCAGGTAATAATTTTGGCTGACAAAGGAACATTCACGGAGTGCGATGCTCCGATTTCAACCAAACGTTGTTCGTTAACACGATACGAGCAAGACCGGTGACATGTCATGTGACATCGTCGCCTGTTTCAGGTGCAGCAATAGACAGAATCGTCCCTCAATCCTTCACATCATCCACATCCCTTCATACACCACGGCTTGTTGAGCCGGTGCTGTTACTTTAGGGATCATTAACCATCTCAACCTGACTCAGTTTTTTTTGGTTTGAAACCGCAGATCCTCACACAACAAGTTATCGGCTCCTCCTTGTATGTATGTTTGTTTGTATGTTGAACTTCTCTCGCGCCGTACGTTGCCAACAATTTTATTTGGAGGTGCGGGAATGATCGGTTCGAGAATGTCATCAACTATGTTTTGGTTCAAAGCGGGCACATCGATCACATACCCCAGCTACATCTCACTCCAGTTCAATATTGTTTTAAAATGGTCATTGGTTGTCAAATACAACTGTCAGGAAGTTGTGGAGGACGGTGTGGATGTCATGAAGCCGCATTCATCACATATGCTGTGTCGCCCATCGTGAGCTGCGTTTGTGTGTCTCTCACTTTGAAATGAATTTCCACTATCGTTAAGCGGTGATTTAGAAACTTGAGTAAATTATTCTTTGGTTTTTTCGGTAAAGTCACGTATAAAAATAAAATAATAAATTAAATAATAGCATACGACGTTTCGATTGCAACACAAGCAATCATCATCAGGTATAATGAAATAGCGACATAGAATATAACCAGAAAACTATAGACAGACATATAAGCAGACAGTCTATAGTTTTCTGGTTATATTCTATGTCGCTATTTTATCCTACCTGATGATGATTGCTTGTGTTGCAATCGAAACGTCGTATGCTATTATTTAATTTATTATTTTATTTTTATACGTGACTTTACCGAAAAAACCAAAGAATAATTCCTGCAGTCACGAAAGCTCCAAAATTAAGATTGAGTAAATCATCCCACGGGCGCCACGAGGGCACGTCAAATCTCAACAATCTTGTTCCATCACCGTGCCCTGTTAATGCACATTTTTATTTTAATCTGAGCGTCACACTCTGTGAATGACCTAGGGCAGGGGTCGGCAACCAAAATAACAAGAAGAGCCATTTCTTTCCAATTCGGTACAAAATTCAGTATTTCAAGAGCCGCAAAGCATCTGAGTACATACTGTACATACGTACATATCGTCAAGAAGCAGCCCGTAAAGAGCCGCATGCGGCTCCGGAGCCGTAGGTTGCCGACCCCTGACCTAGGGGAAGCCCATGACGGGAAATGTTGCCACGTGCCGCTGATGTTCGCCATTGGTGTAAATCGAATTTAGGTCACGGTGTTTGTTGTGAAAGCGGCTGGACTGTCACGCACACAGACAACAATGTGGAACTGTCGCCCTCTGATGGCAGGAAATGGGATGTTCTGGCCCTGTATCGTGTTGGTGTCAGGCGCAAAAGGATCGATTGACAATTTTGGGAATGCCCCTGTTTGTCGATCTGCTGACGTCTCCACAGGCAACAGTGTTGCAAACCGCCAGGCAAAGTCTGCCATTTCATAATTAAGTAATACAGATCCAACATTTACAAGAGCACAGCTCCATTTACATTTTCAAGCAATGTTCTCTCCGTTGTTTGAAGCTATTATTTCAAAAGTACCCGTGCAATTTCACTTTACATGACAACACCTTACATGCGTGTAAAAATACACGAATACATTTTAAACAAAAGTACATGTAAGAAAAAAATATCTTCGTACATTGGAGACTTTAATCGTGAGTTGGCAGGAAACTAGTTTCTAGCGATACATGGTAGGGGAAAAAAACAAAATCACCACCATGTGTTGCTGATATTAATTTCCATCAAACTGAGCAAAAAGTACTGTCTATGCCAGGCATGTCCAAAGTCCGGCCCGCGGGCCAATCACGGCCCGTGGGCAGATTTCATCCGGCCCGCAGCTTCGGTCGTATAACGTGTTATTTATGGCTCGCCAGCTCTGTCAGAATAAATACATCATAACACTCATGGAAATTTAAGGTATTCTATACAGTTTGTTCAATGTTATCAGACTGAATGAAAGGCAGAATTGCGTTTTTAGAGTTGTTCCCGTCTGCCTGAGTGGCTTATATTTGGTTACATTGTCATTTGAAAAATGAAGGTAATTGTGGCAATGAAAATTGTTTTATAACAGTGTGTATTTCCACGTAACTTTTGTGGTTAAAACAATGTCAGAATGAACTATTGGCCTCCGGGCATCTTCACTTTATCAAATTTGGCCCTCTTTGCAAAAAGTTTGGACACCCCTGGTTTATGCAAAAGCATTTAAAATACGAAAAAAATACCACCAACTTGGTGTGCAGCTGCATTAATTTAGCCAGAATTTGTATTTATTTTAGTCATCGTCTAAGTTTAGTCCAAAGCGTAGCCATGGAGTCAACATTTGGGGGGGACCTAATCTTCCAGGGGGTCTGGGGGTCCCCCCCTAGAAAAAAAAAATCTAAATTTGAAAACTAATTTCCTGCCTAAAATATTAAAAAAATTCACTAATACATAGGATGGACTTTTTATTTATTTTTTACAATAATGTTTAATAGTGTATTGTATTACGTTGCTTTGTTTTTCTTTTTTCTACCTTTTCTTGTTTCATTGTATGTAAAGGCAGAGATTAGGGATTAATAAAGTACAACCATAACCACAATCATATAAACAGAAATCTATTTTATAGCAATATATTAGGAGGGAGATTTTGAGCATATTTACGGCCTTGGTTTAGTCAATGGTAACCTCTAGTCCAGTTTTTTTAGCTGAGTCTTGGTCATTGCATAATTCTCTTTATGTAACCCAGGTCGCCCTTGCAAACGGGGCAGTGATTCATGTCTCTCAATGCAGTCTATGTTTCATCACCTAATAAAATAAAGGGTACTTACTCCAGTGAAAAACGGAGTCCACTCTTAGCTGTTAAATGTTAGTTGTGAGAGATGCACATTTCCCCCCAGCCGATATCAAGTGAGCTAATCAGTGAACTCAGTAACTATTTTAATCTACAGGACATGTATAGCCAACTAGCTACCATATTTATTCTTCATCGGTGCACTGTAGTCTATCGCAACGTTACTAAACTATCTTACTAATTGGCCGTGTCGGGTGGTGGTGAATTTAGCAACACATTCATATTCACGTGAGCCAATGAAAAAAAAAAACTGTATTATGTATTACTAAATTATCTCAGTCTGCGTCTTCATTCGAACTCCTTATCGCATCTTGTCACAGTCACTTCGTTACTCTTTGGGGGGTCAGCGTAGCTCTTGTCTCTCTGGATGATTTTCGTCTTCGTAACACCCAGCTTTTTTTGCACCAATATTGCGGGTTCACAATGTACTTTTAAGTTGGGCCACCTAACAATGACCAACATTTGTGTCGTTACCAACCCAAACACATTTTTTTTGTCGCACGTACGAGCGTTTAACATGACGATTAATGATTACTCATGTATCAGCTCGCCGGTAAAGCTGAATAATTCTCACAAACCACATTTAGCGTTAAAACACACCCCCTCCCAACCCCACTTCACCGACGAGTGACTTTCACCAATTTCACGCACGATAAAATGACGTTAACCCGTGGGCGTGCAGGCTACGTGCCGAGCTACCTGGACAAGGACGAGCCGTGCGTGGTGTGCGGGGACCGTGCCACGGGATACCACTACCGCTGCATCACCTGCGAGGGCTGCAAGGTGCGCCGGGAACGCCGGTGTCACAGCATCCCACACTGGCGCGTGGCGCGCCCACAGGGCCCGATTGTTGGGTGGAGGTTCTCAGAAAAAGAGTCACATCTGAAGCAGTCCTTTCATGCCCCCTCTCACCCATCCCGTTATCGAACTGCTTTTTTCGTGGTCTAGTTCGTTGTCTTTACCCCGCACCTCCGATTAGCACGGTTGGCTACGTACGCATGCGAAGGACGTTCAACATGCATGCATACATACATCACCCCACACCGAACAGAGTGGTGAAATAGTCAAAACCCTCACATATGACCGACACAGTGTGGGCGGAGGAATTTTACCCAGCAGTGGACTGAGAAATCGGCTGGAAAATGTGAAACGGCATAATTTCTCATAGAGGTGCAGCCCTGCAATGTCTATATAACACCACTGCTGGCAGAAGAGCCGCACCCACTAGAAGGAGCTATGGAGAGTCCCCCCACCCTCCCTCTGCAGGGTGTTTTAGACCTCCTCTTGCACGCCGGTCAGGCATCTTTGAAGAGGTGGGTGTAAATTTCGATTTAAAGCTTTCGTGACTGCAGGGATTCATCTTCTTGGTTCTTTCGGTAAAGTCACGTAGAAGGGAAGTAATAAAATAATAAAAATAAAACATAATAAAATAATTCTCACGACGCAAGCAGCCGTCCTCAGGTGAAGACCAGGTCTGTCGGGGAGACAGCGTCTGAATGGTGGGTGTACCCACACTTGACCCAACCATGCACGACCAGCCAATTAACTGCGGTTGTATCCCATGTATACTGTTGGGTGGACAGACATGGGGGTGGGTGGGGATTTGAGGTGCTTGCCCCCATTGTTTTAACTGCCACGCTGGGAGGTCCAATGCAACCGACGACCTCTGGATTGCCAGTCCAGTGCGAAAACAAAGTCCAGTTTGATAACAGAGGGCAGCCAGTTCGGCGGTGTGATCACTTATCTTATGGGACCCCTTTTTTGCCAGTATCAAGATGGCCCTTTTCCAGACTCGATGCCTCGTGATAGGTCTCCATTTGGCGTTGGGACGTCTCGGCACGTGTATTCTTGCCAGAAAGGGTTAACGCCTATTCACGTGGGTACAATACGGTGACGCGTGCGTCGGATTCTCTCCGATCACAGCAAGGTCTCGTAGTATGCGTCGGGGGGTTAGGTTCCGTGTTACCCTACGTAAGCGCGAATTCTCCTGAAATTGTTGGTTTCGCCTGTACGAGTGTACATACAATGTACACGTTTAGCGAAGTGCAGTGCTGCACGTTTAATTATTCACTAAATGCACGTGATCGGCACGAAAGGCGCGATGCGGTGGTCACAACGCCGTCAATTGCACGGTCCACGTAACGGCAGGCGGTGATCTGTGACTCGCCCCCCCCCCCCTCGTGCGCTTAGAGAAAGTGACAAAACGCGAGTCGCACAAAGTGTGAGAGCATGAATTGGGTGGGGGGGGGGGGTCGAGTACTCACGATAAACTCGCTGGAATAATCGCTGGGCAATGGTCGGTGTTGACGGTGGCAGGGATTCTTCAGACGGACCGTCCAGAAGAGTCTGCACGCCACCTACGTCTGCAAGTTCGCCGGAGGCTGCATCGTCGACCGCGTGACGCGCAACCAGTGCCAGGACTGCCGATTCCGCAAGTGCCTGGCCGTGGGGATGGTCAGTGACCGTACGTACCCGTTCCTCGACGCATCTTGTTGGCACATTGCAACGTCGAAGATGGGCCGCCGGGCGGTGCAATTTTTGTGGCCACGCAAGCCAAACTGTGGACCGCATAGGTAAAGTACGGTAAAAAAAAATTGAACTATATATATTTGTACCATCTTATTTGACAGGCACTTTTCTACTTTACCGAGTGCTGACATCCCCAGCGTTTAACAGTGCTGCTTTTTTGTATTTGGATTCTCAACCAACACCGGTTTAGGTCGAGGTACACCGATTGTTTTCCTGCACATGACGACGTTGGCCAATTTCTCTTGTAGCCCCGCCCACCACCCCCACGTTCCATTCCCTGGTTACCACACTCAGATAAGCCCCTCCCCCCTTAACTTGTATTTAAGGGCTGGTCTCTTGGAATTTTGCATCACTTGATGCAGTAATTTTAGCTGTGACGGTCCCACCTGATGACGGAGACTTGTGTTGCCTCCGAAACGTCGTGATTTATAATTTTATTTGTATTATTACTTCTATTAATTTTATTTTTTTACCGACGTGACTTTACCGAAAAAGCCTAAGAGTATGAATCCTTGCAGTCAGAAAAAAAGTACGGCAAGTCCTGCGCTCCTTGAAGGCATGAGATAGCGGCAACTACACGAACTCTTCCGGAGCCCTCTCTCGTCGTGGACAAACAGATCTCGAGACATGAATTAAGCTCCCGAACATATTTTTCATCACGCAATTTAGCACATTTCCCAGGCGTTGCTTCCCGATGGTAAGCGGCCGTGCCCCTTCTTGCCTGCTGCCGAGTGGTGGCGCGAGGCACAGGCCAACCAAGCAAAGGTTCAGGGATCCAAGTAGCTCAAGAGGCGCCGAATTATTCAAAAAAAAATGTGGACGCATTTAAAACAGAAAATCAGCCCGACTTCATAGTCCAGTAAGCAGAACAATCTCAGCATTTGAATAACACTTTTAAAAAGTTGTTTTAATTGTAACACGTCTGCGACCTTCGTTGTGGTCATTGTCCAGCGTGTAATGTGTGTGGTCAAGCGACACACCAAACATTCGGTGGGCACCACCATTGCTGCTGCTGCTGCCGCCCTCCTCACCTCACTGCCGCGTCTCCGCCGCACACCATGGGCCCCCTCTCCTCTCCTTGGGTGCGGCTTCTTTTTGTCTTGGCACGGCCCAAGATGAGAAGGCCCGCAAGCGTGTGCGTGCGTGCGTGTGCGTGTGTGGGGAGCGGTGGTGTAGCGGTTAGCGCGCTGCGCTACGAACCTGTCGACCCGCGTTCGATTCTCGCTCACGGCCAACACCGGTGACGATTATCTCAACCGCTGCTGGGCCTCCCCTAGGTCGACTCAGCCTCAAATAAGTACCTGGTGCGGTGTTTAAAGATCGCCACTGGGGAGACAAAGGCGGTCGGGCGTGGTGCTGGCCACCCACTCCCTCGTGTGCCGTCCCGGCCTTCAGAGGTGCTTGCTAACAGCACTTGCCCCAACAGTCTGTTAAGGCTATACGGGGGATCTTTGTCTTTCAGGTTGGCACAGTAGGGGGAGCACATCTGGTGCATCTTGCCAGTCATCTCAGTCAGCCAACCCATGGGCACCTGATGGGTCGGTCCCGTGACCTATCAGCAAAAGCCTTCCACACTTCACGTGACTGCCTTAAAGTGCACCTGGCCTGGCACCGGCGCCGTGGTGACGTCACAATCGTTTAGTGGTGAACGGCGGTTGTATTGTTGGCATTGGTTAAGTTGGTAAGAGCGCCCATTCGGGAGGTCGGCTGAACTTTCGAGCGAGGCCGCAATTGACGGCACTAAAATAATTACAATATATGTTACCGTGTGCTCCAGATTATAAGACACTCAAGAAAGCGACACTCACCCCAAAACTTTGAGTTAAACATATCAGGGAAAGCATATATATATATACACACACAAAGTACCTACCAGATCATAAGACATCCCATAAAACTTTCGCTTCAAAATACAGTCCGAAAAAAGCGTGTCGTAATGCGGAGAATTTGCGAGCATGAACAGTTTTACTGTCCACAATTACTATTCTTCAGAGTCGTGTTATATAAGTGTACTGACCGAAAAATTACCCCAAGCCAATAAGCAGCCTAACGGCTATTTGAAGATGAACAAAGGTCTCCGATTGGTAGAACGAGGCCTCCACGCTGATTGGTCGGGAGGTAGACTTTTTAAAGGGTTTGGAGGAATAAGGTTTGAACGAGAAATCGGAAAACAGAGAGTATCCAATCTTACAAACTGGAAGACGCGCACGAAGCCTAGGGTTCTTTTTTGCGGCTTTGTCCAAATAAGAGTAGCTCTTACTCTTTCCTCGCCAAAGTCGTTACATAAGCAACAACAAAATAAAGACGTTAAGATGCGTGTCATGGCCTAGAACATATCGGAGGACGTCGTAAGCGTGCTCTTTTCAAGTCGTATTCGCAAAGGCTCTCGTAACCCTTCAGGGCCGTGTATGTTAACAACGCGGAGCTGCCTTGTCAAGAGCCATTCATAGCAACGGAGCCATCACATCACGTGCAAAACTGGGGGAGAGCCTCGAAGCCATGCGCGCAATAACAAACGTCAATGATTTCCTACCCAACCGGCAATGGTGTTCATCTCCTCTTCATTACAGCTCTGAGCCAGTGGTGAACATTCTACATTTCTATGGTCGGGGGAAAGTCCATCTATATGACAGCAGCTGTTAATACCTATTTTATCAACCCTGGAGGGATCATGGGCTGAGTGACCCCCAACAAGGATTTGAATTTGCGACCTTCCGATCGCGAGCTGCTCGCACGGCCACTGAGCCACACGAAGTCATAAGCATTCAAATGCGATTCGAGACGTTTAAATTGCTGCATTCAACTCCCACGATCGATGGTTTGATTAATGTTATTGTGATTTTACGTATTAAATCCAAATTAATATCCCATAACGTGGCCTGTGACATCATCCAGAGTGAGCCGGATCTCGTCAGATCTCGGAAGCTAAGCAGGTTTGATCCTGGACGGTGCTTGGATGGGCGACCATGTATGACCGGTGTGATAGGCTGTATATCAGCAGAGGGTATTGCAGAAAAATACATTGTTGTACCCTACTTCTAAGCTCCAGTATCTATGCTCCAATATCTATGCTTCCAACTTTTGCCAATACCCACTGACCAGTTACGGTGAATCATGGTCGATAACCCATATAACCTAGCCTGGTATGGGGAGGCCTTTATCCAGCAATGGAGTCACACAAAGGCTGTTCATACACACACACCGAGAGGGGACTTCATCTGTAACGTCATAAATGAGTGAACTACTCCAGTGCATTCATTCCTGGTGCGATTGCAATGTTGTCTGACAACAGTCTGCCACGTTGGTGAGGTGTTAACAACCTCGTCTGCTATACAGGAGGGCGTGAGTTCAATCCTGACCCCGACGCCTAGTATATTTGGAGTTTGCCTGTTCTCCCTGTTGTCGCGTGGATTTTTCTCCGGGTCCTTCGGGTTTTCACTCCACCTTTATAAATCAACACGCATTTAGAGTGTTTGTCTGCTACAAATTTCCACGTGATGAACCACTTTTTTGTGGCCAGGTGGCTTCTGAAAAAGAGCTATAAAGCTCAGTGAGCCTTACCTGGTAAATAAATGAATATAAATTATTTACTTTTATAACGGTGGCTGCCAGGCCATGCGTGACAGCAGTCACTCGAGTCCACAGTGTGTTCCGGCAGCGGTGCGTCGTGTGGCCCAAGACGGCGGAGATGTTGGCTCACTAGGGGCCCTAGGGACACGTTATTTTGGTGGCCCTCTCTTTTAAATTCACAAATTCCGGGTGAAATTACAAAAAGACGTATAGCCAGAGATAGAAGTAGTGGGAAATTATAAATGTAGCCAGAAATAGATGAATAGTGGTGAGCAATGCAGACAATATAGAGATTAGAGAGACCAATTGGCTGCATTGTTAATTACCTTGTTATGTTTATTCGGATTTGAATGTGAGCTAATATGTTATGCACCCCTATTTTTTCATAAATCTAGGGTCCTTTGAGCTACTTGGGGCCCTAAGCTTTATTTGCGTACGCCTATCGCCACCACTGCCTCAGATGCTGGGTATTTAATACTGCCAAGGTTGAATGTATGTGTTGAACTTCTTTCGCGCCGTACATAGCCAACCGTGCTAATCGAAGATGTGGGGGAAGGACAACAGGATTGCCACGGACGGAGAACAGACAGAGAGAGTTTCTCCTGTCAGCAGCCGGTGGTCAACGCTGTCACCCCCATCCCCCACCCCCCAACCCTCCCATACCCCCCCAACCCCCTCCATACCCCCATACTCCCCCCCCCATACCCCCAACCCCTCCCCCCCCACGGCCCCGCACCTCCAGTTGTGTTGGACGAGGACAAGCGGCAGGCCAAGCGACGGCTGATCGAGGAGAACCGTGAGCGTCGGCGCCGCGAGGAGTCGCAGAGGCAGACGCAGCAGCAGCAGCTGCCGGCGGAGCCCAGCGCCGCTGAGTGGGAGCTCATCCGCATGGTGACGGATGCTCACCGAGCCACCAGCACGCAGGGCAATGGCTGGAAGGAGCACCTCGGGTTCTTGGTGAGCGCCGCGGTGGCTAGGAGATGTTAACTCCCTCGCCTGCTTTGCAGGAGGTCGTGGGTTCGATCTCAACCCTGACTCCTGCTGTATATTTTGAGTTTGCATGTTTCTCTTCCCGTGGTCCCCTGGTATTTCCTTCCACATTTAGAAACATACATTTAGAGTAGTTGGCTGCTATGCATTTCCACGTGATAAGCCACTTTGTTGAGCTATCAATTGTGGCCAGGCCGCTTCTGAGAAAGAGTTACATAATAAACTTTAAAAAGTTTAGTTTAGGGTTTTTAGTTTACTGTAACAACAAACAACGCGTTCACCACAACGCGTCATGCTCGTCATGGCCAGGAGAGGTGGGAGACGCCGTCTCCGTGGCGGACCTGCGGAGTGTGCAGGAGGTGCAACTGCACACAGAGGAATCCAGAGCCAGAGGACCGGGCCACTGGACTATGGTTCACTGCAGAAGGGCCCATGCCAACCATGCCAGCCTAGTGGGCTGAGTCCTTTCCTGCTCGCTTGATGTTACTAAAGATCCCATGGAATTCGCTAAAAGAGTATACTATTTGGCCACTGCCAACATGATTAGCATCACTTTTACGAATAATATTCATTGAAACTAAGTGGGCCGATAGAAATCTGATAAAGAGCTCCATAGCTCAGTGGGCCTTACCTCGTCAAAAAAAAGTTTAAATAAATGTGGCCACAGGTGGCCAGTGGCATAATGCGGTCGGCATGAGCCCTGGTCCAAGAAGAAAAATTATGGGACACCACTCAAATTCCCATCCCTCTCAGTAGCCCAGCGTGGGTGCCCCTCCGATCAGCAGTCCCCGGCGCAATTGCATCGCTGGCATGCTTCATAGCTACCCCACCGGTGTTGACTGCGACGGCGATGGTCGCGGTGGTTGTGGTAGCATCGGCGGGAATGCTGATGCCGTATCGCACGCGAGAGCACAGCGGCGGTGCTGGCGGCGCGATCAGGTGCACTGCGTCGTGGCATGCGGAGTGGAGATTTCTGTGAGGATGCCGAGGGGTCGTGCGGCGTGCCCATCGCGTGGCGTGGCGGCGTCTGCAAGGCCACGGACAAGCGGAGTCGCCTCGGCACGTTGCGCGTACGAGCGGCTGTGTTGCGGTGCGCGTTGCCAGCCCGGAGAGCACGAGTCCGCGCCGGGACCCGGTGAGGCAGGGGAGGTGAAATCGGCGGTGGCGGCGGTGGCGGTGCAGGAGGAGGCCGACGACCGTGCGCCCGTGGACCTGCAAGCTTTCTCTCAGTTCACGCGGATCATCACGCCCGCCATCACCCGCGTCGTCGACTTCGCCAAGAAGCTTCCCGTCTTCACCGAGGCAAATCCCCCACGCTTGTCGATATTCGTTCACCTTCAGCCATAGTACGTGTGATGCGGATGAGCGGAGATTAGTTTCAGGCCTGTTCATCCGGATCGACGACCCAGGAAAATATCTTCTGCACCCAGCACACCACATCCAGAATACCTCTTGCTATGGATATGGCTACTAGTCATGTGCCTACTCTACTCCAGTCTACCAATGACCCGGAAACTATTCAGTGGGAAATTAATCCCCGCCTATAAGCCCGGAATGTGCCCCGATCTCATCGGATCTCAGCAGATAAGCAAGGTGTGGTGTGCACATCGCTTGCATGGTATAGGTTGTGAGACTATGTGGTGAGCAACAGAGTGGCAGTACAGCGAAATAAAGAAACACAGAGGGCAGGGTCCACCTTATGAGAAGTGAGGATCCACAAGGCCAGTGCCGTAGATGGTGTTCCCTTAGCATGCAGGTAGCAGGTCCCACCTTAGTTTCCTGCAGTAGCTATGGTTAGACAGCGTCATCCCATCGGTCATCCGAGGTTCTGCAAAGAGACTTGAAATCCAGAGTGGCAGAGAAAGAGTAACGGCTTTGTACGTTTCTAGACGATGCTCTGGTTATGTGTGTATGTTGAACTTCTTTCGCACCGTACGTAGCCAACCGTGCCAATTAGAAGTGCTAAGGCAGGCGAGCCTACCAACGACGTGGGCACTCCCACCACACGCAGGGTTGCACAACATCATCTAGAGCAGTGTTTTTCGCTCATTTTCAGAGGGCGGGGGGGGAGGCGCTTACGTCGATAAGACATCAGTGGGGGCCACCACACATTTAGCAATACATTGGATTTGACAGCGCGATGGTTTTCGTGTGTATAGTCATGGGGGCCGCACGTCAGGGACCGCACCAAAGGGCCGCCAGTGGCCCCTGGCGGGCCTTGCAACAAAGAACTCTGCTCCAGAGAGTTGCCCATCAGCTCGTTCATTCGGTCGGTACGCTTCGCCCTTCTATCAGCTGCCGTGCGAGGACCAGATCATTCTGCTCAAGGGCTGCTGCATGGAGATCATGTCGCTGCGCGCCGCCGTGCGCTACGACGCCGAGAGCGACACGCTCACGCTCAACGGCGAGATGGCCGTGCGGCGTGAGCAGCTCAAGCTCGGCGGACTGGGCGCCGTCTCCGATGCCATCTTCCAGCTGGGGCGTTCGCTCGCCAGCTTCGCGCTGGACGACGCCGAGGTGGCGCTGCTCCAGGCCGTGCTGCTGCTTTCGTCCGGTACGACGCCGCCGCCGCCGCACGGCCACCGTACGTGCCGCCGCCGATGCCACGCGTGGCGACGGCCGTGACGGATGAGCGCCCGGGCGGCACGAGCGAACGTTCCGCGTCGATGGCGGTGTCCTCCGCGTTGCGCGTGCAGGATGACCGCCAACGGTGCCGGCTGTCGCGTCGTGTGCTGACTTGTGTTGAGTGTGTGTGTGTGGGGAGCGACGGTGTAGCGGTGAGCGCGCTGCGCTGCGAACCTGATGACCAGACTCTTCGGTTCTTTCGGTAAAGTCACGTGGGTATAAAATGAAATCAATTAAATCACGACGTTTCGGGCGCAACACAAGCGTCCGTCATCAGGTGAGACAACCACAGCAAGAAACAATTGCTGAAGTGGGCAAAAGGGGCTGCTGTAACAAGAGGCTATATAGGTAAGAGACGGGGGGGAGGGAGCAGCCAGGGAGGAGAGACAGGGAGAGTGGGGGTGTGGGGTAGGGGGAGTGGAGGCTTCAAGTAACACACAAGCACGTGACTTTACGGAAAGAACCAAAGAGTATGGATCCCTGCAGTCACGAAAACTGATGACCACAGTTCTCCTTCCCGCTGGCGCCCAACACCAGTGAAGCTAATCTCAGGATCAGATCAGAATCGTTATTTGGCAGAATGAGAACCTTTATTTAGACTCGAGGAATAATCTGTCCCAGTCCTGGTGGGCCTCCCCTAGGTTTACTCAGCCTTAATTGAGTACCTGGTGCGATGACTAAACAAACACCACGAGGGACAAAAAAGGCGGCCGGGCGTGGTGCTGGCCACCCACCCTCTCGTGTGCCATGCCGGCCTTCATAGGCGCTTGCTAACAGCACTTTCCCCTGCAGTCTGTTAAGCCTACACGTAATATTGTTTGTGCCTTTGCGAGTGTTTACCACATACCTTCATCTGAGTTAGAGGTCGTTGACCCAGTAGGCAAATTACACAATGCACAGTTCTGCTTTGGTGGTAAGCCTCGCCTTGCTGATAGCCTAAAGTCGATGCAGACCGCCGCTCTGCGACGAAGATCAACGCTTGCCGCGGGTGATCGATGTCAAACGTTGAGGTCGTGCAATGCGACGCCGGCGTCTGATGAAAACGACGACGTTTCGCCCCCCCCTCCCACAAGTGGCGGTGAACGTGTGGTGGAGTGGCTCGCCTGTGCCCCACAGACCGGCCGGGCTTGCGGAGTGCGGCGCGAATCGAACGGATCCAGGAGTCGTTCCTGCTGGCGCTGGAGCACTACGTGGCGTCGCGCCTGCACACGCAGCGCTTCTTCTGGCCCAAGCTGCTCATGAAGATCACGGATTTGCGCACCATCGGCGCCTGCCACTCCAGCCGCTTCCTGCAGATGCAGGTGGCCTGCCCCACGGAACTATTCCCTCCGCTCTTCCTCGAGGTCTTCCAGGATTGACGCTGAACTCCCGGCCTCCAGCCAACAAAGCGGCTCTGCCAGAGGTCGATCGCAGCACCTCCGAGGTGTCAGCCTGAGTCTTGTGGAGGCACGGAAGACTCCGGGGAAGAAGAACTGTTTACAATGAACTGGACAGCCTCTCCCGACCGCTCAACTCGAGGAGTCCGGGTCAGGTGAGGAGCGCCGAGGACTCGCTTTGTGCCGGCTGAGCTTTCACGGCCTTGGCCTAAACGTCTCACCTCTGGTTGTGGGAGAAAAAACCCAGGACATGCACGTCAACAAACACAACTTTTGAACGAAAGCAGTGCAGCGTAGTTTAGTGCCTGTCACCTGAATTCCTCATGCTGTATTAAATAAATAGCAGTCGCTCCAGATCTAATGCAGCAATTGTTACGTGACAGGAATACAATCTGAGATAATGGCTTCTGGGGACTGCCTGCATAACCTTTTTTTTTAACCAAAATTGTTTTATTCATTCTAATTTATTGAGTAACAACGACTAATTAGCAAAACAATCACTTCCTTTCCACGTTTAAAGTTGTAATTAGGAACCTTACAAACATGTGGAGATGAAAAATTGTAATACATTTTCTCGGGAACATTATCCAAATAACAAGGTGAGACAATTAAGCCTCAACACAATGTCAACAATTTTCCAAGCATTGTACAATTTATATATATATCTTTTTTGCAACTTGTATAATTGTGCAAAGAAATTACTTTCGATTAATTCACTGCTCACTCACGTCTCTTCGATGCGCATCGGGATTTTTTTTGTACGCGAAGAAAGACGGCACTGCACGTGCTTTTATGAACTGATGTTCCAAGATGTTCCAAGCAGGCGGCTGCCATGGTGCTTTACAAGCGAGGACCAGGGATTCATCAGGCAGCAGTGATGATGCACACGGGATGAGATCCAGTGTTGTTGTCCTCAGCTGTCAAATAAATACGCACTTTTAAAAAAAAATTGTTGTTCTTGGGCTATGGAAGAAAGCGCATGAAATCTGTCCGTCAAAAACAATAAACACGGCGTTCTCAAGAAAGTTCCGGTTTTTTTGTTTAGTATTACCTCAGAGCTGCCCCACAAATCCATGTCACCTCTTGGTCACACCAAGACACCCCCCCCCCACCCTCCCGCAAAGTCTTAACAGACTTTTGGGGCAAGTGCTGTTTGCGAGCACCTATAAAGGCCGGCATGGCGCACGAGGGGGTGGGTGGCCAACACTACACCACCTTTGTCTCCCCAGTGGAGATGTTTACGTGAGGCTGAGTCGACTTCGGGGAAGACCCAGGACTGGTTCAGATAATCGTCAATGGTGTTGGCACGTGAGCGGGAATTGAACTCGGGTCGCCAGGTTTCGTAGCGCAGTACGCTAACCGCTGCACTACCTCATGCAGTGCCACATAGCAAAAATGCTTCAAAGTGGTACAAATTTTATCAACCCTGGAGGGGCTGATGGGCTGAGTCAACCCGCAAGCAGTGTTTGAACTCGCAACCATATGCTTGTGCAGCCACTCGCTCTACCGCTGAGACACCTGGCTGACGACTGGCAAAACTTTGAAGCGAAACCATCGTGAGGACACGTCGCTCACTCTCACATTCCTTTTTTTATTTACACGCTTTTATTTAACTCACTCAGTCTGTTGTATTCTAAAAAAAAAAATCTTGCAACTCAATTTTGACCCACTTCCCAATGTGCTATCGACTGCAAACTTGAAATAGCTATGTCATACTGATGACAAGACTGTATTCTATCATTAACATTTCAAAATAAATAGTTTTAAACATTTTACATGCTTTTATTTAACTCACTCTCTCTCTTGTCGTATCCTAAAATCTTGTTACTCAATTTTAACCGTCTTCCCAATGTCGTATCGACTGCAAACTTGGTGTAGGGATGTCATACTGATGACAATACTATATTCTATCATAAAAAAAATATTTTTAAACAATCTTTTTTACGGCTCTAATTGTCCACGCTCAACTCACGCTGCCCGTAAATCACCACGTGGTCCCTTACGTCACGGCAAGCCTCGGGGAGCCACGCCGAGGGGCTGGGGATGTGGAAGGAGGGGAGGGGCGATGGGGGAAGGGGGCAGGGGGAGGGGCAGCTCGGACAGTACATTTCATTAAAGCGTGTTTAAAAAAAAAGTACTTTAAATATTTTATATTCCCTCAATTGACACGAAGACGAAAGTGCGGGGTGAAGTTGACCGTTCTGCTTTCTTTTACTTTACTCCGTTATGGCAGAAATGTCCGAGGATGTTTTGAACGAGTGACACTTTGGCCGCGATGTTATCCCACCTCGGGAGTGCCCTGCCACGATGCGTCGTTGACGGTACAATGGCTTCAGCGAGTATACTCAAGTTGGCAACGGTGGCCTTTGTTCGAGACGACGTGGAGAGTAAATGTAGCAGGAAATACCCACCCCCATGGTCACATACTTGAGAAGGTGGAAAAAGTTAACACGAAGAAATTTCTAAAACAAATGTTGTTTGAACCATTGTAGTATTTATTTGCGATTCGTGGACAGGCAGGTGCAGTGCAGAGAATGTCACAACTAGTCCGTGGGCCAGAGCTGAAATCGGCATCACCTAAAGCAGCAAAACTTGACAGTTGTGCCCATGTATTTATATGACGAATGATAGTCAATTATACGTTAACTTACTTGTTTCGGCCACATGAAGAAATTGGAAACCACTCAAGTCATGCCACGTCAGGAGGCACCAACAATTAAATATTTTTTCGTCGCAGAAATCATTCCATCCCTGGTTCTCTCACCCACCCACACTGGCAACATGTACATTTCATGAAGTTTACACGAACTTTTTGGCAAAACTAAAATCTGAAAACGAAGTAATGCTGCTTTGTTAATGCGGCTAAATGACAGCAAAGTGAGAATCATTCTTACATTGTGTACCCAGCATAACGAAACAGCAGAGGCAGCATCTCATAAGGTCATTTTATGATCCAGTAAATGGGTGCGTGATTTCGGAACTTGGCAAAATCAGACTCGGGCGTTCCTGACTTACATTGACTACATAATGCATCACCTGCGTCACGGTCACCAACAGCACCGGTAAAACGTAAACTCAGAGGGAAGGTAGTTACAGGCAAACAGTTCTTGCAGTTAAATAGTTCTGACAGACGAGAGGACTGAGTGTGCGTCTTAGAACATTTCACCACACTTAAAAAAGATGCTAACATCTCTCGTGTTTTTTTTTAAATCAAACGCATACAAGCCACAGGCAAGATAAACTGCCGACCCCACTTGAACACGGAGCCAGAAGCTGGGTGCAGAAAGACGAATAATATTTGGCAAAAAGGTGATAATTGCAATACAGGAGAATCTGTACATTTTCCGACTTTTTTAAAACTGCAATAGTTGCATAAAAAGTTGGTAGAACTTCCTCATTATAAAACAAATTCCACAGAAACATCTGCCAACAACACGTTTGAACATGGGCATTGCTCATTTGAACAACTACTATTCGCTGTAACATTCTTTCACGAAGACACCTCATTCGCCTTGTACAATGGCAACACTTTTACTTTAATGTTCCACTCATTACAGTGCTATTTTTTCCAAAGCAAATCCCTAGCTTTTTCTCTTAACAGCATTTCTACAAAGCCGTTGCAGCCCTGCCGATGTCGCTTCCTTCACCAAACGTTTGCATAGGTACAGCAGTAAGTGCGTTGCTTCCGATGCGCATTTTGCTTACACTCAAAAGTAAAGTGATTAAAGTATCGACGCCGAGGCGGGGGTTCACGCAGGATCCCTTTTCGCACGACGTCAACGGAACGTATTGGGCCACCGAAGCCTCACCAAGTGACGTAGCCCAAGTGGGGCTTAGTCGAGCGACGATGACACGCGTGACCGCAGTGAGACACCGACCACGGAGCTGCTGATATGACATCAGTGATAATTTGAACTCATTTATCAGAATGGATTTTTAAAAATGTTTTCTCCCTGCATAAAGGTCGTAGTTTGTACACAAACTTGGCCCAAAATGTGAACGCAACACCACGTGTCAACGATGTCATGAAGCTTTGCGGTGGTGGCGAGCACCTTTTTTCGTGTGTAGCGCGAGGCCAGCGACGTTCACTTGAGCGCGGTTCTAATATCCTGGGTGAATCCAACCCATAGGTCACCAGTCCGGCGCCTCGGAGCGATGCCCTGTGTCGTGCTGCCCTCCACCGCGTGCGGTTCATCCACGCACGCGCTCTCGCGCCAGCCATGGCCGCGTCTCCACTGCGACATCATCCTTCCGGGGGCCCGCACGACGTTCCGACCAAAGTCCAAAGACAAACGCACGCCCGCCTAAATGAATATCGCACAACTTATTTTGGTCGTTGTAAACACACGATGCTTCCCAATCGAGAGACGTCCACCAGGTTGGGAATTAAGTCGGCCCTGTGTAGATGCCGATAGGCAGCAGTCGACACCCCTCAAGGTGCAGCAGATTCCACACCCGCACACGGTCGTGCTGTTCCAAAGCTGAGAAATGCACGCGTCACACCACCGGGTTTTTGTCCACGCGAGGGAAATGATGTGCGTCTCGCATCGAATGGCCTTCAAGCTTATGGGACGCGCTCCTCGGCTTACATTCGTCATCTCGGGAGGCACATTCAAACGGAGCACTTCAACAAAGTCACACGTAACCATCGGGGGCTTCACCCATTCGGCGACCACTCACCGTGCCAGATTATTTTACTCATCCGACCAACAGTAAGGTGCATCTGTTGTAGGCTAGCTTAAGGGCACTCTCTATGAACAGTACATTCCACCAACTAAGCCACATTTCCACCTTTTCAGCATAGATTCGCCAATCCCTGGGCGCTTTAACTTTCTAGCACTCTGCCTTTATGCTGAAAAAGAGATGCAAGTTCACCATCCGAGGAAGTTTAAAAATAAATCCCATGTTAATAGGATTACTAACTTAGGCTAATTTGTGTAAAGGTTACTACTAACTGTAGAAAGAACAAAGTCTGGCTTCCCTCGGTGGAACCTGCAGAAGTTCTTCAGCTAAAGTTGCGCTTCTGCAGCCGTCTCGAATGCTCTTCCTTCTGACATTAAGAAGCCACTGGGGCTATGCACTTTAAAATCATCTATATTGACAACTCCTTTCTTTAGAACTGCCTTATGTGTTTAATTTGTTGCCCTACCCCCGCACCTCTGCTGAGTGTGGTTCGCGAAATAAGTTCAACACACATACATGAAGTTAAACGGTGCAATTGTCAAACATTGACGTTGTTTCGTACAACGTTATCGTTGACTTTGCCCCGTTTAACACGGGGCTGCAATTTGCACAAGGCTGTGGCAACACAGGGCGCCGAGCACGCCGATTGGCTGGAGGGGGATCACATGGTCATCATGGCAATGCTTACGTTTTAACAGCTGACCTTTTTTAAATCCTTTATATTAAGTTCACTTGCTTGCGTGCTTGCTTGCTTGCTTACGACCGTGCAAATCTTTCGGTCGTTTTTTAACCCACTTCCCGTGATCCAATCGAGCTGACATTTTGCACGCAGACTCGTTGTGCGTGACAATTAATTTTCGTGAAAATTTTTTTTCCAAAATTTTACACTGTTTAGGGAATTTTTTAAAAATATTTAATTACCAATTGCTTAATGGTGGCAGACAATCATCTGACCCATAGGTGGCAGTCATCTCAAGCCAGAGGACGAGAGGACTGTAGCCGCCCGTTTCATGATGACGCAAATGTTGACTAACCACATGGCATGAAATCCCTGCCCCCACGCTGTACAGTGGAGACTATTTATAGAGCAGTTACATTGAAGCCGCCAGGTTCTTGAAAGTGGTAAAACGGGTCAACGCTAGTGCCCTCGGGAATATACGGGGCATGTCAAGAGGTGATCTTACATATAAAGGATTTATAGTGAAAAACTTTGTTTTTACGGGTTAATTTTTTTTGTGTATGGGCATCAATGCGCGGAGACTTTTGAACAAGAATAATGCATTCGTTTATAAAAGTAATAGTTCATCTTAGTTACTTGTCTCACATTGTCCTATTTTGGGCCTCATTTGCTGATCCAGCATGCCGAGTTATTTGACTTTACATCACAGGCCAAGCAGGCGCCTCTCCTTTGTCTAGATCGCCTCTCGGGGGTCTCTTGCTAGGCTGCTCAGGCAAGAAGGTAGGGTTGAGATCGGGCCTCTCAACCTCATTCATTTGATGTACTTTGTGTATTTTAACTTCTTTCACACCGTACGTAGCCAACCGTGCTAATTGGAGGTGCGGCGGGAGGACAACATTCATAGGTGCACACAACATACACACATAGGCTGAATTTTACAGCTCAGTCACATGCAACAGTGTTTTAAAACAGGAGGAGCAAAGTCCCTCCGTTTGACATGTGATGCAGTTCAATATTAGAAGGTTGCAATAAAGTTATGAAACACAGAAACATTGCACACGCGATTAACTTCAACTGCAGACAGGGATTGCCTCTGCCGTCTGCTAAGACAGGAACTTGTCCAATAAGCTGGTCCTGAATTTCGGGCGTTTCTCACACATGGCCCCAACTTTAATGTCTACATCGTTCAAGCCGCAGGGGGTTCCACCTGTCTTGGGGTTTCCCCAGGATGTCTCTTTTTGAGGTCGCCGCTGTCCTAGTAAATCTGCAAGTCCTTCCTGGACATTAAAAGCACCATTTTACATCAGTTGTGTAATAATACACCACCCAGGACGATGCATTTGCATACAGTTTCTCTTTTCTGGCATCGTGAGATATTTTGTATTCCCATCACACATGTTAATTCTTTGTAAAATCTTCGCAAATCAGAGGTGGCAACCATCACGCCTGCTGTATATTTGGAATTTGCGTTTCTCTCTCCCCGAGGTCGTGTGGATTTTCCTCCGGGTCCTTCGTTTTTCCCCTCCACATTTAGAATCAACATCACGCGTTTACAGTATTTGGCTTGTTTCCATTTCCATGCCATAATCCACTTCGTTGAGCTATTGATTGTGGCCAGGTCGTTTCTGAAAAAGAGAAATATAGTTTAGTGGGCCTTGTCTGGTAGAATAGTTCATAGTCTGTATCAACCGGCAAATGATTTGTGGGGAAGCGCCACTTCAGGAGCGGCTCACCAGCCAAATGCCCGATATCCTCAGTGAGGCCCGTTCACAACGTTTCAGGGCACTCACCACGAGGATCCCACGAATCTCAAGCTCCGGGAATCCAGATGGCAAGTCCACACACGCCTCCTCACACGTCACACGCTACTGATATGTCACGGAATCAGGCTTGAAAACATCAACGGTCAAGGTGGACTCGAGTGAAGATCATTTCTACACACTCACCTTTATCACGGTGAGCCATTTAGTGTAAATCTTGCCATCGTTAACGATCATGTAGAACCCGGTGCTTATACGTACATTAAAAAATGCATACTTTCCATGTTCCCGACTGAATAGGACTTTCGCACACATACCAACCAGGCCAAATGGGTCTTGCCTACGAATGTCAACCACGATGTGTAAATATAAACTGTTACAAATAAATAGTGATGCAGGAAAAAAAGAAACCCCAAGAAAACTGTGTGTAACATTGGGCCAAGTATTCAAACATTAATAAAAGCCAGCAAGTGTCCTCAATAATCCTTGCAAAGGATGGACGGCTCTTTTAGATTAGTCACTGCATGTCTTTGTATTGTAATATTTCACCTCTATTACTTCCAAAAATAAAACCATGTTAAGCTCTTATCCGTCAGTTTTCTCATCATCCGATTTCGGGTGACCTTAAGACGACCCAGCGAATGGGATTGCGGCTTCACGTGTGTAATTTGAGAGAGAGTCTTTGAAATGCTGCTCTTTGAGTGCAATTGCATCTTCCACGTGTACATTAAATCGAACACCATTGTGGCACATAACAAAGGAGGCTTTTGTCGCCGGAAATGTCAAACAACGTTTCTGTACAAAGCATGGCAAATGGCTATGTAATCCTCCAGCTGAGCTGATTTGTACATCACAGAACCGTAATAGTGTGCTTACTGTGAAACACATTTACCACAGGGACCCTGCTGTCTACCGAATGGGGCTCGCGGAGCCTTAAGTGGATGCTACCACCCAGCCACCCCATACTAAACATTCCCGGCTGTGTTTCATGACCGCTAAACACTTATTTTTTTTACTCTCATGAAAAAGTAACAACTTGTGCATGTCGAATCTCAAGCTGTGCTTTGCTACAAACCATCCGCACAATGGTGGACAGCAGCGGTTGGATGGTAGAAACCTTTTTAAAGAAAGCCGACATCCTAAATCAACTTGCAAATGAAGATATTTCATTGTGCCTCAGCACGGACCCTAATTAAAACGGCAGATTGTCACTCACAACGCTTCAGCCGAGGCGGCACACGATCGGTCATAGAACAAGTCAAACTCGCCGCTCAACTACTGCAATAAAACGCACAGGTCTGCAAACCTCCGTGGTGGACTTAAATACCTCTTTTCCATTGTACAAGCGAGCCGCGCTGGCCCGGCCCGGCTTCGGCAGGCACCAGGTTGTGTTGCTACTGCGGAACCTCGCCCCTGGCCCGCGCTTGGCCCCCCTCCCCCCCCGAGCCAAATTCAGATGCCTTGTGAGACCAAGAGTTACACGGGTCGGTTCCGTCTCCGCTCGCACAAATAACCAGTGGGAAAACTCGCAATCCGCAAGGGCGCTTGCGCTGGCGTGGTTTGGATGTGCCCGTGGAAAAGGGCCAAAGGTCTCCTATTGGTCCAACATTTGCAACCCGGAACAAGCACCAATCAGCTTCGCTGCTGAACATGACGAAGCTTTCCTTCAGTCGCTCCTCTCGCCAATAACGTAGGGTTCAACGTCGACAGAGTATAAATATAACATTACTTTACATGAGAGGATTCTTTGTACGATACTGCATTTCACTTTGCAACAACATCCTCTTACCAAGGACGATGATATAACTCCCGCTTTCGACTTCTAACAGCCACAGTATCCACCCACTCTCGGAGAGACGCGCCGAACTACAGACAAGTGGGCGCCACCAATTGCCCAATCTCTGCGGTCCTCTAAATATTAACCCTTTCCCATTCCGATGACGTACATGTACGTAATCAGTTTTTCTTCCAGTTCCGTTCCCATGACGTACACGGTTTCCTCCCATATATAAAGGCTGATTAATTGGCTGAAATTGTTGAGGAGTTTTTCTGCCATACTTTCTCCCACAAGGCCATGAATTTATTCATCAATCATTTTAGTAGCAGCTGATATTGTTCAATTACTCCTCTCTTAATCTCTAACGCTCAAAGGCTGTTTTGTTGTTCACCTACGTTATCCAAAAGGCCATGCAGGAGAGCGTGTGGTAGTTTGGCGCCAGCTATCGTAGAGTGCGGTCGTGTCGCTACAGTTCTCTATGGTGAGTACAACTTCTTTAAAAAGAACGGAACTACTACGCCTCTCCAAATAAAATTCACGCTGAACCGCTTGCGCGTTCCGAGAATCAGCGGTGCACAGGACCCACCCTGCAACTTGCAGACGTCTCGGAATGGCAAAGGGTTAAGGTGTTATCAGCCAATTAATGAGAGTTTATACGTGGGTGGAAACCGGGGGCACCCCAAGTACCCCCGCCCGTGCTATGGGTCAACAATATGGACGCATCCGGTGAGGTCCACATTTGCTGCGCTGCCTTTTCCTGGCAAGTGACAGTATGGCTCCTCGATGCCCAACCTGAAAGAGGCTTCGCAACGTTTTGTGCGGTGCACCGACCCTCGCCTCGACGGTGTTGGATTGCAGGCGTGCGCCACCGCCGCCTCGCAATGCATTGACGGCATTGAAGCTGAAGGGACATGGGGGAGCGACAGTTGAATATCAATCCTACGGGATCACTCAGCATTGCCGAGATGCAATTGCAAACCAGCAACCTTGCTTGCAACCCCCTTTTTCTAGCGTAGTGATGAGCTGTCAAATAATGTACCACGTTGAACTTATTTCGCACCGTGCATAGCCAACCGTGCTAATTACTATTCATGATGGGTTTAACAGGTGCGAAAAACACAGCACTCTCTCCAAGATCCTGCATAATGTTAACAGCTCTGCATTCCACAGAATCTGTCTTCTCTTTTGAGAAAGAACATGCTGTCAGGAATGATAAAAAAAAGCGTTGCCTGGGCTTTATTATGAGAGGTGGCACACGAGATGATAAATAAATGCAACGTCAAAACAATGCAGTCCCGGTGCATTATGGGACTCCAGTGCATGCTGAAAACGGCAAGAGTGCCGCTTCCACACGTCAGGACAGAGCACAACCCACGAATGAACGTTTATCCACTTTGACTGCAAGTTAATCGTAGGGATTCCCAGTGCTCAGGGCATGCGAGCCAAGGTCACTTCCAAAGTGCTTCGCTGTCCACGCTCAATAGCTGCCCGATATTGAATTTATTCGTCCAATCATTGTAGGAGCGGCTAACTGATCAATTCCTCCTCTCTTGATCCCCAACGCCCGAGGCTGTTTTGTTGCACTTCAAGAATAATCTAAGCAAAGAGGGAAAAGTGTAACGTTATGCCGAGCGCAGTGACGAGCCGAGTGCCGAGTTGTAATTTGACGGTCCGCTGTGCCGCGCCATTTCCATTTTTCAGAAAGATGATGCTGTCACCGGCGAGCCTCATCACCGTGTTGCGCTCCGTCTATTCCTGTCGGGAACAGGCATCCCACTCGCAACATCTGCTCGCCACTCAATGCCAGGCTGAGAAATATTGTTTGTTGTACAAATCTCCGTCGAGGCGTCACTTTCCTCGATGCGCGGTTCACCGCGAGCGTCCTGTGATGGCAAACTACTTGTCCCATAATGATGCGGAGAAAACAATCTCCTCCTGCAAAGCATAACGACGACGAGCAGCATCAGGGGGGTCACTGGAAAACATGACGAGACGATGCTCTTGCTCTTGCCTGCGTGCAGCTGCTCCTGTAGATATATATATTTTTATTTGTTTCGGTAAAAAAAAGAAAACACACCACAGGGCCACTCGGCAAGCCCGGCAGCGATGATTCTGAGGCTTCGCTGCGCCATTCTGAGTGAACCTTCAACGGGGGTGGCTTTGTGCGCGCACAGCGGTGGAACCAGACACTGCGCCACCCGGCCCGGCTGCGACCCCAGAGCCTGCGAGCGGCGAGTCGGTTGCACAAACTCGACTTCCCCCCGCCACCCGAGCGCCACAGATGAACGACTATGTGAAGAAAAGCATCCCGGAAAAGGCCCTTTTAGCGATGATGTCCTCCCCAAGCGTCTCCGGGGCGGGTGCTGAATGGAGAGCGGCCTCCCTGGCGGCATCCTCTTGGCCTAGTGGCTCGCGCGCGCGTGCACCGCACACGCGCCACCGAGCCCGTGGCCTTCACCGAGGGCCTCGACCCAACGCGGACTGTTCGCATTTCCTTGTGTTGGGACCGCCTCGCGATGCGTAAGGGATGGCCATCGGAGTCGCGTGCCCTTCTATTAAAAGCTCCGGTTCACAGGCGCCGCGGGAGAGCACCTGGGCAGCTGTGCGGTCGGGACCCAGAACCACCAGGGCGGCCCTCTCGGAGCGTGCGGGTGCCGTCCCCACCGGACGCGGCGCCAGTGGCCGTCGGCGCCATGGCGACGGCATGGCTGGTGCGCAGCGGCGGTGGCGGCGGGGCCGAGGGCGCCTACAGGTCGACGCGAAAGCTGAGCAGCTTGCGCGAGTGCATGCCGTTGAGGGCGCGCAGGTCCGACAGGCGAAGCAGCGTGCGGGACAGCAGCGTGGGGTCGTTGCCGTGGTTGCGCGCCAGCAGGGCGCCCAGTCCCCGCGTCAGCGCCTCGTGTAGCCGCCTCACGGCACGGGCGTCCTCCACGCCCGCCCGATCTGATCGCGCGGAGAGAGGAAGGAGGCACGGCGAGGCCGCCCCCGGTTAGCGCACAGTGAGGCGGTGGACGTCACAGACGAGTTTGGCGCCGCGCGAATCAACCGTGACGCAGCGCCGCGACGCGCACTCGTGTGGGCGTACCCACCGGCGATGCGGGATATGGAATGCGAGGTAATAATCTATAAAAAGCAGCATTTATTTTGTTACAGAGGAAAGCCTCACTGGGAGTCTCCGGACTTTTGGAGTGCTGTTGTGAAGTTGGATGTTGGCTAATGCCATTAAAGGGTGTTTGGCTTTGTGTGGGATGAAGCATGGCGCTGTCATGTCCCACTCTTAGCTGCAGCTCTGAATGCTGAGCTCTGCTTGACCGACCACGGGCCCAAATGATGCAGTGATTTGTGAACTCGGCTGGTTCGCGTACGGGTCAACAAACCGATTCCTTGAGTTGTGGTCGTTTGTGCTTGGAGTGTAATTTGGGGCTGTAGTGGTGAGTGGCTCGCGGGTTATTTAGGCTTCCGGTTGCTGAACGAATACATTATAACTTCACACTCAATACACACAAAGTGCCTGCCACAAATGGACCACAATGCCTTTCTGATCTCGTCAAGGAGCATCAATCATCACGTAAACTCCGGTCATCCTCGCAGTGGCTTTTGGCTAACCATCGAACAAAGATGGTCACCACATCGCGCACTTTCAGATGGGCTTCCGCGGCCATCTGGAATGCTCTTCCTTCCAATATTAGGTAGCCAGTGGAGCTATGAGCTTTAACATCTAGATTGAGAACGAATTCCTTTAGAACTGCTGTTTGTGTTCAGTCTGTTGCCCTTCCCTAGCACCTCCGATTAGCACGGCTGGCTACGTAGGTCGCGAAAGAAGTTCAACATACGTATGCAGTGCATGGTTGTGATTTTTTTGTGCTGTCGCATCGCCGTATCGGCAATTCTCAGCCGCGTGCGCTGTCGCTCTCGATCGTGGCGCGGGGGCGGCACCTGCGGAGACGAGCGTGACGGCCATGAGGAAGCCCAGCTCCTCGGGGGAGAGGCGCAGCGACTCGAGCTTCTCGCTGAAGTCGAACATCGCCACCAGCAGCTCGCCCATGCCCATGGCGCTCAGCTCGTCCTCGCCGAACCGCCGGCCCCCCAGGAAGGTGAGGCAGCGCTCGCGGGAGTCGAACAGCCACGCGAAGCGCACCATCAGCACCTGCCGCCCGCCACGCCCGCGCACGCACGACACGACACGCAGCCGGAGGAGGATCCCTCCCCGGGGGAAACGGATGGCGACGGATCTCGTGGCGCGATCGTCGATCGACAACGGTCATCGATCGTTATCATTGTCCATCCTTGTCGTTTCGATTTAAAGCTTTCGTGACTGCAGGGATTCATCTTCTTGGTTCTTTCGGTAAAGTCACGTAGAAGGGAAATAAAAAAATAAACAAAATAAAACAATAATAATAATTTTTATTATTTTATTATTTCCCTTCTACGTGACTTTACTGAAAGAACCAAGAAGATGAATCCTTGTCGTTGTCCATCATTGTCGATCGACAACGAGCGACAACGCGCAACAACGACCGAGCGACAACTGGAGCGGCTATGCTCGGAACGAATAGGCTCGGGTTCCTGGGCGGTCTGCGTTAAATACACGGCGTCTCAATGACCGAGGGGTAAAAAAAAACAAATTGGTTCATTTGCATTCGACGAATTATTTTGGACGTATGCGGCAAAATGAATTGGTTCCCGTTGGTATTTTTTTGAAATCGGTAGCCTCTATTGTGTGTAATGGTCCGGACCTATGTTATATTGCGATAGCATTAGAGGAAGATGCTATTGCAATACTGCATGGCGAAACACGCCTGCAGTGATCTGTACTTGTCGCGACACACATTTTACGCCTCCGCCGAACTCTCAACACTTCGAGCATGCCCTGCAGTACAAGATCTACTGTGTCGATCACAAGTTCTCGCGGTAAATCGTTTATCCGAAGCAATGTACATTATCCACGAGTGGCCGTGTTCAAGGCGAGCCTCACAAGTGTCTCCTCACTCTTAGCTACAGCCCTGTGTGAGTGGCTGGGTGAGTGCCTAGAACTGCAGTGAGCGATGCAATTGATCATGAAAAGAGGGCGGCAAAAATTAGGGACTCCACACCTGACCACTCATAGTCACCCACCCCCACTGCTAGTCACCCGCCTCCACCGCTAGTCACCCGCCTCCACTGCTAGTCACCCGCCCCCACCAGTAGTCACCCACCGCGAGTCACCCACCCCCACCGCTAGTCACCCACCCCCACCGCTAGTCACCCACCCTCACCCCTCCCTCACCTCGAACGTGCCGGACTTGAGCAGGGCGACCTGGTCGTGGCGGGAGAGGCTCTGGAAGCCGTGGACCCCGCGCGCGAACTCGATGACCTCACGAACGGCCAGCGTGAAGCAGCGGGAGAAAGCCTCCCAGGCCGCATGGGGGCCCCCCTCGTGCAGCCCCAGCGGGTTCGAGTTGAGGGGGCACGCCTGGAGAGACACGGCCGAGCCCACGGCGGCGAGATATTAACGACCTCGCCTGGCACACAGCAGGTGGTGGGTTGGAGTTTGCACGTTCTCCCCGTGGTCGCGTGGATTTTTCTCTAAGTCCTCCGGTTTTTGCCTCCACAATTAGAAACCCGCGTTTAGATTCTTTGGCTGCTATACACATTTCCACGTGATAAACCATTTCATTGAGATATCATTTATGGCCAGGTCGCTTCTGAAAAAGAGCTATATAGCTCAAGTGGGCCTTACCTGGTATAATAAAAACAAGTTTTGAGTTATTAGTTCCATCGCTCACCTGCCCACGATCACGCCGTGCTCACCCACGCTCGAGAACGAACGCTCGGCGCGCAGTCTCACCCCGACGACCGGCTGCAGAAGCGTACGTAGCGTGTGCGATTGTGCTCATGAGAACCTAGGGGTGCCCGCGGCGAGCCTTACCAGGACGTTTGGCCGAAGGTGCGGAACCGGACAGAATCCGGAGAGCGCGCCGATATCGTCCCCCGCGGACGCCGCTCCACCGCAGCCGCCGCCGCAGCCCCTCGGCGAATCGTAGGCACCGTCGCCCGAGCCCGGGTCCGACCACTCCCCGTAGCTGCGGCAGCTGGCGCGGCCGTCGCTCTCGCAGTCCGTGCTCATCTCGCAGAAGCTCGCGAACGGTCGCAGGCCCTCGGGCGGCCGTCCCAGCTCGGGGCTGGCGGGGCCCCCGGGGGGGCCACGGGAGGCCAACGGGTGGCCGGCGGTGGCGAGCGGCGACGATGACGCGGGGCGGCTGGCGCCACCCGGGGGGAGGTCGGGCTCGGCCGGCGGCACCTCGGAGACGAGGCCCAGGCTGCGCATCTCGGCGAGAAGCCGCTCCTTCTCCCGCTTGGGCGTGCGGCCGTACCGCACGGCTGCTCAGGGCGATATGGTGGTGGTGGGGGTGGGGGGGGGGCGAATTGTGCTTTACGTTACAAGTCCAGTTGCGGCTCGTGACGTCTCCCCTAGGTGGGGCTGTTGTGAGTGACCTATGAAAATGTGGCGTTATAATGAAGAAAAACCTCATCATGTTTTTTCGTCTTATCTGCCAACGGTGGGCATTTATAAACAATACGAAACAAAACAACAGGGCACTCAAATGCTATCCCCATGACCGCCAAGTCCACACTACACGACCCCTTTGACACTGCCAAAGGCCTAGAGCGTGTAGGCCGTGAGCTGCTCTATTTGCACCGTGCAACCTCGCGTTGTGACGTCGTCTCATTACAGACATGGGCGCCTTTTTCACCGCCCTCAATGGGTCTCAAACGGCGTGGCTAACAATGCGAAGCGAATCGCAATGAATGAAGGGAAATCTCTCACTCGGACTCCTTCACAGCCGCCACGAGACCTCCCCGAGGCACAAGTCAGACTGCGGTGTGGCAGCGGATTCTAATACGAACAACTTGAAATGTTATCTTCACTAGGCAGTTCACGCTGAAAGAATCATGATATTTGAATTTTTTTAACACAATAATTTTTTTATTACAAAGTATTTTTTATCACTAAAATTATTTCTCATCTCCAACTGCTTGGTTGGGGGGTGCCCCAACGCCCCTGTGGACGAACCGCGCCTGGTCACAATTCGCAAAGCAGGGTTTGTCAACCCATCAAGGCTAAAGCCTGGGTCTTTATTGGTCGCATTACCGCACGCGGCACACACCACATTCAGTGCACTTCTCGCTGCAGATACTAGTCACGTGCCTTCTCCAGTCGATCAGCAACTGGGAACATTTTAAAGAAAAAAATCTCAGTTACATCGAAACGCGCGACGACGGTCACAATTGTGCCACGGCTGCTGTCACGGCCGTACCGTCCTTGGACATGCCGACCTCCAGGCACTTCTTGAAGCGGCAGTACTGGCAGCGGTTGCGGCTCGTGCGGGCGATGGGGCAGCTCTCGCTGCGCAGGCAACGCTTGTACTGCACGCTCTGTTGGATGCTGCGGCGGAAGAACCCCTGGCGGCACAAAGGGCGCCGAAGCGCGGTTAGAGGGCTGGGCACGAGGTCGCGGAGAGACGAATGAGGGTTTGGGATGCGAGATTCCCCGAGCGAGCCCCGGGCCCGCCGACTCTCACCTTGCAGCCCTCGCAGGCGTGCACGCCGTAGTGCAGCCCCGAGGCGATGTCGCCGCACACTTTGCAGTAGAGAACCATGGTGCTGAGCTCTGGCACGTGCACAAAGGGGGCAAAGACAAAGATCCCCCGTGTAGCCTTCAGCAGACTGTTGGGGCGAGTGCTGTTCGCGTGCAGCAACTACGAAGGCCGGCGCGGCACACGAAGGGGAGTGGATTGGCCACGCGCGGCCGCATTTGTCTCCCCAGTGCCGATGTTTACACATCGCACCAGGTACCCATTTGAGGCTGAGTGCAATGGCACACATGCACACACACGTACACACAAATACACCAGCTCAAATTTAAATAAATCACACAACAATCTGAACGTCATTTTCACATGGCAATCGTAATAAATGTTCAGTCCGTAACATTGTTGTTTGCTTTATGTGATTCCAACTGTGTTGTAGGCACCATTAAGTATTCTTGCCCCTGGAAAGTAAATGACAGATGTCCCTGTAATGCGGATCCCAATACGAGCTCTCATTCTGCACTCGGGGCGCACCTGTCGATCGCTCTGTGCCCTGCAAGCAGTGATCATCGCGTCTCTACCAAACTTGGGCTTCATTTCTCAGGAGATGGAATCAGCCACATTATTAGATTTTTTTTAAAAATAAAATACAACCATGATGGGCACGTTTGCACAGTCATGAGTGAGCAGGCCGAGGCTACTCGCCGCACTCCAGGACCCAGTTCAAGCACGAGCCGCTGATGCCGAGGTTTGAATCCAGGTCTCAGCGGTGCTGCTGTTCTCCCAGGAACACAAAGTTTACATCGATGAATTTTCAACTCAAACCTTCATTTCAAGACCGCTTTTCAAACCTATTTGTGAAGCTGGTTGCTCATTTTGCTTTCACAATAGTTTGACTTTTTTAAAATCTCATCTGTGCGGTCAGACTTTGTCTGAACTAACATAGCAGAGCATCGGGAACCCTTAACCAAAGGGAACAGCTAAGTGGGGGTGGAACAAATGTTCGCTGATTTTGATACAAATATTTCACTTCCCTGGTGGAACAAATATTCGGGAGAGCCATCATTCACCAGTTGAGTGCTCTGGCACCTGAGCCACCCATCTCTTCGAAGTGACGTGGAACATTAAAGATGCCGCTTTTGTCGTACTGGGCGTATTCTTGCTGTCGTGGTTGGGCCGGCTGGGCGAGGATGGATGCCGGGTGGGGCCTTCCTTCCGTGGGTGGCACCGTGGGGGCGGCAACTGGGAGAGGCCGGCGCCGTGGCCGGGGAAGAGAGCGGTGGTGGTGGTAGCGGCGACGGCGGCGGCTCCCAGGGCGGGCAGCGGCAGGGAGTCCGCGCTCGGGCAGCGCCGGAGCGACGAGGGTGAGCGAGGCTGCGCTCCGCTCGGCCAGTCCGGGCTGCGCGATGCCGAGCGGGCGAACACGATCACGCCTGTGGGAGACAGACGCCGAGATGAACGGGACATTGACAGCGGTGGCACCAGCGGCTCCGGTGGCTTCACATCTCGCCACGGTGGCGAGATGTGAAGTACCTCGCTGCCTGGTATACAAGGGAGGCGTAGGTTCGACCCCGACCCTGACGCCTGTATATTCGGAGTTTGCGTTTTCCCCCCGTGGTCACCATTTTTCTCCGGGTCCTCCTGTTTTCCCCTTCACATTTAGAAACAACGCGCGTTTAGAGTATTTGGCTGCGATGAAAAACATTCCACGCGATAAGCCACTCCGTCGAGCTATCATTTGTGACTTTGTGAGCAGTTCGCTTCTGCAAAAAGAGCTACATAGCTCAGTGGGCATTACCTGGTAAAATAAAAAAACAAAGTTTAGTTTTGTTTACTCTCCGGCGAGCAGCACCAGGGATCGTGTCTCCATCGAGCAATCGAAATTTGTCCTGAGCGAAAGGAGTGAAACGCCCCCCCCCTTCCCTCTGTCCAACTCCCTCCCCCCCATCCTACCACCATCTCTTCGTGGCGGGGCATCTCCCGAGTGCATCGGTGGAGTCGTGTCGCCTGCATGCGACAGCGAGCCGGTGGTGGGCGCTTCCCAGGTGTGAGCCCAGGCACGTGCGGAGTTGACGCGCAGCGCCACGGGCAAACACGCGGACTCTCTGGTGCCATCTAGGACGGGCAAAGCTTTAGCGGTGCCACGGCCCAAAGAATGTTACGAGTTGTGACAGCTTGCTCATTTAAAACAAACAAAAACAAACAACGAGGTTGTCACATTGTTCGCACGTGTCTAACGAGTTAAAAAACTAATTCGGCGGCACTGCAGTTGTCCCGTTCGGGGTTGTGTTGCGACGGGTGGGAGCATCCCGTGAACTCACAGACGCGGCGACCCACGCCGACCTGGCGAAACGGTGTCCGTCCATCCAGGAGGATCCATCGAAAACAGCCGATAAATCACTCACAGCCGGGCGATTTGCGTTGCACTTAAAAGACCCCCCCACCACCACACACACACAACGACGAAGCCGAATGGTTGAAAGTGGAGAGACCGCCGGTGCCCACCCCGAGGATGGGCGGGGCGGGTGCGAGCGAGCGAGCGAGCGTCATGGTGAGCGGGTGACTGTGACCGCTACATCGATGCCAGGGCAGGCACGACACCCACACGGCGGTGGTGGACGAGCGTGGCGGCTGCAGTTACCGTGCGTTATGTTTGCGAGTTACGGACGGGCGTTGAATGCAGCCGGGCTCTGTGACCCAGAATGTGTTTCTGCACCCGGCACAACACCACATCAAGTATACTGGAACGGCTCTTTCTTACGATATTAGGAAGCCACTGAGGCTATGCACTTTTAAATCACTTAGATTTAAAACTCGCTTCTTTAGAACTGCTTTGTTGTGTTTAGTTTGCTGTCCTTCCCCCGCACCTCCGATGAGTGCGTTTGGCTACGCGCAGTGCGAATGAAGTTCAAAGTACTTACATAAGTGCCTCTCACAACGGCTGTGGCAACTCCCAATCACGTGCTACCTACCCCAGACTACCGGCAACCCGACAAAAACATTCAGTAAAATATTAAGCTCCGAGGTTGAGCCCTAATTAGAGCCGATAACAATGCACAAGACGCGTTACCCTTGGAATGAATGTACTGCACACACTGTGAAACTTGTTCTTGACAAACTGCAACTAAAGCCCGGTTGTAAAATTGTACTCGTGTTCACACAACGCTTAGCCTTGGCCAAAAGCCGAGAAGCAACACGAGGAGGAGGAGGAGACTTATTTTAGTCGATCTCATTGCGACGATGAGCTGGACGGAGAGAAACCCATCCAAATGCTGTGCGAGAAACTCAACCAATGAGAGGAGAGGAATGAATTCGGGATTGGATCGGCTTCGGCGAGAAGGAATGTTCTGCAGGAGGCGATCATGGGGCGAGTACATGGCAGTGTCATTCACTAATTTTCAGAGTGGGGGGTGGGGTAAAGGGGGACATCATTCAGTGCGAGGGCCGCCACACCGCCTGCCAAGATGTTCTTTTCACCATTTGCCTCTCGTCGCGTGGGGCCTCACATCAGGGGGCGCACGAACGGCCACCAGGGAACGTCAGTGGCACGCTGGCCTTGCCGTGAAGACCGCCGCTCAGCGGGTGAAAGGCCGGGAGAGGAGGACGTGCCATTCAGCAGACGAAGAGAGCAGCGGAGGACAGGGCCACGTGCAGGGGAGAACGGGGCCTCGGAGCTGTCTGGAGAGCACGCTGAACGAAGATGATGCTGATGATTAATCCCGGGTGTAGATGTGTTTACAATTAGACGTTGACGAAACGCCGAGGTTTGGTGCGCTGACTTGTTCCCGACACGCGAGCAATGGGGAAGGCGGAGTGGTCAACCGAGAAGTCGGCCAGGTGTGCTCACGTTAACGCTTGTCTCACGGAACGTCGGACATTCTCCCTGCTGAGCAGAGGTCGCAACCGGGTACCCGATACCCGTACCCTACCCGATGCCCGGCTACCCATACCCGGCCGGGTACGGGTACCCGTTTGCGACCCTGGTGCGGCCGGGTACGGGTAGGCCGTGAGTCAATGGTGAGTAACTGTTTGTCACTCATTTCCCAACGTCTTGTCTCTTCTCACAATTCAAGTTCCTAAAATAAACCCACCCGCGCCTGCAACATGGCTTCATCTCAGAGGTCGCAATCAGGTACCCGATACCTGTACCCTACCCGTACCCGGCCGGGTACGGGTAGGGTACGGGTACGGCCGGGTACGGGTACCCGTTTACGACGCTGGTGCGGCCGGGTACGAGTAAGGAATCAAACCCCGTTTGCGACCTCTGCTGCCGAGGCGAGCGCTTTAGAAACTGGCGGAATCTCACGAGCTGGTAACTTCCAGGCAGAGCGACCAGAGAGATGATACCAAGTACAGCAGCAAGGGCAGAGATAGAGAGAGAGGGGGGAGCTGGGATTGATGGCTGTGCCGTCTTCCACTCAGCTAGCACTCATCACAAACGCCCCGCGGAGTAACCCGGGCTGATTCATTCCCAACACAATGGGGGCGCTTAGACGCAAACCGTGCGTCATTGCCCTGCCACTCGTCGCCGCCAAGATCCGACCACACCTCGCTCCAAACCACCGGGGACTTGCCGGATCTTGGAGGGTGAGCTGGCTTGAGCCAGGATAGTTGCCTGGACGGGCGACCGCCGGGCACAGACAGCTGGCTAGAGGCTGCGGGTCTCTCTGCGCAGGACGCAGCAGTATCCATCGTGCTGAATGTGCATCTGCCTTCACGAACCCGCTCCGACCGGGGGCGGTGAAGTATGGTCAAATACCTCTCGCGACCCGCGCACGTGCAGTGGATTGACAACGGCGCCAGATGCGTACAATTCCGCTGGCTGGGTCACTCTGAAATAAACTTGGATTCGTACAAGCGCGCCACCCCCCCTCCTCACGCCGCCAGCGCACGCGTGCGGCACACAAGACGATTCGCTTTAGAATCAGGCGCGGGCGCTTGGCGGGTTCTGGGGATGGTGGTCAGTCCCCCTCCTGGCAACATCCAAAAATGTCCCTTTGGCACCGTCCACGTTGCTGGCTCCATCCGAGCCGAGAGAAGCTGCAGCCGGGCTCCGTTGATAGAATAAACTGCGGGCGCTGCGTCTGTCACACGCAACGCAACACAAACGTGGACGAAGAAACAACATCAACAACAACATCAACAACAACAACAACAACCCCACAGGGCGAAATGCCACTCACCCAGCACGGTGTGCGGCGCACGAGGCTCAGTTCGCTCGCTCGGAGCCACCGAGTAGCGAGGGAGGCGAACGGCTCCCTCCCTCTTCCCTCCGTGGCGCTCGCTCCGAGTTTCTCCCACTCGCCCTTTGCTTCCCCGCGTGATGCGAGTGTGTGCGCGCGCGCGTGCGTGATATGTGCGTTGCGCGCGCGTGTGATATGCGCGTGCGCGTGCGCGTGTCTTCACCGCTGACGCACGCGAGGGGTCCATGGGGAGGAGTGCGATCCGACCACGCGGCGTCACTCGCTCACGCGCGAAGGCACGCGGCACGCACGCGGCACGCACACTACAAAAGACAAAGACACCCCCCCCCCCCCGTATAGCCTTAACAGACTGCCGGGGTAAGTGCTGTTAGCGAGTAGCAGCAACTGTGAAAGTCGGGCACGGGCACACGACGGGCTGGGTGGCCAGGCACTACCCCCGGCCGCCTTTGTATCCCCAGTGGCGATGCTCACACATCGCACCAAGTGATAATTTGAGGCTGAGTCGACCTAAGGGGAGGGCCCAGGACTGGTTCAGATAATCGTCACTGGCATTGGCCGGGTTCGTAGCGCAGCGCACGAACCGATATTGTACACCACCGCTCCCCTACATAAAAAACACTCACCAACTCACACTCACTCTGCGAGACACATTAACCTGATGGGTCGAGAGTAGAACTCGTTATTAAGAAACCCACCCGCGTGGTTTTAAGCCAGGTCTTATTGACGGAAGTGTCTATAACAGGGTCGTTAAACCGATTACCGGTTTTGAAAGTCAGGAACCGGTAACCTTTTGCTTTGAGCGGCTATTTTCGAGGAGGTGGCCGTAGCCACACTTTACCCCACTCGTGTTGATGTCCAACATTAAACGTCGGACAACTCTGTGGAACGGAACGTGTGTAGCGCACAACCCCGCGGTGCAACCCAACAACCCAACAACCCAACAACTCCGCGGTACAACCCAACAACCCAACAACCCCGCGGTGCAACCCAACAACCCAACAACCCCGCGGTACAACCCAACAACTCCGCGGTACAACCCAACAACCCAACAACTCCGCGGTGCAACCCAACAACCCAACAACCCCGTGGTGCAGCGACAACGTGAATACCGAAACCAGTTTTTTTTATTTCACCAGATATGGCCCACTGAGCTGTACAACTCATCTTCAGAAGCGACCCGACTATCACAAATGATAGATAGACCAACTAAGTTGCTTATTAAGTGTGAATTTACAGCAGCCTTGCACCCCGTTGGCCCTTAATCATAATTATTTTAAATAATGTTAATAAGTACAGAGGGGGTGACGGAACAAAGTAGTTGTACTTACGCGCCCTTGCTCAATTTGTGTTCCGATGATTTGCCTTCGAAAACAATCTGGCCTCGTCTCGCACCCCCCAGAAAGGGCATCTCGCACCCCCAGGGCGTGCGTGAACCCCATGCCACGAACCACTGTTCGAAACGAACGTTTCTAAATGTCGAGGGGACAACCGGGGGACGCGAAAACCCGGCGTGAGGAAGAGAGAGAGAGAGAATCCAGAGCGAAGGGAATGACTTTTTAACCACATTGGGGAAACTCTCACCGGGGAGATGAAATTGTGGTGCGTCTTCAATTCATCCAGGTCACTGGGCTACACAGTTGCGCTCTACAACTCTGCACGCTATGGGGGGGGGGGGTGTAGGGGGGGGGGGTGCTA